ATGGCTACGTGATTGGGGTGTTCGTCCAAGTGGTGCGCGGTTTCCCGCTTTCCATATTGATCCGAGCATCCCAACTACGCAGCCAATCACTTCGCGGAGGAAGACGGGGTAAGGATCAAGCTGGGCGTAGGGGAAGACGAAGAGTCCTGCATGGGGAAAACGCGCACAGCAAGAAGGGAAGATGGCGCGAGGATGCAAAGCAAGAAACGGGGATGCGAGACGCGCGAAGAAACCGGAGCTTTGGCGCGCGCCCAAAAATTCAAAAAGTCCCAACCGCACCCGGTTCTTGGTTTTCATACCGCGACCGCTATTCGCCCGCGGGAGTTATTAACCAAACAAAATGAAAAAGCCGTTTCAAAAAGAAAACAAAAGCAAAAAGAAAGAAAAACCCCTTTCTATCCGCGTCCGTACTTCGGGGCTTCCGCGGGATTTTTCCTCAGGGATACGGCAAGCCGCGCGGTACGGATCTGAGCTTATCACATCTGTGATACGTAGGGGGTTCCGAAAAATTAGCAGTCTCCCGACTGCTGATGCCATCATATCATGGATGATCGGGCGGCCTCTTCATCGTCAACTGGCCCGATCATCTTCCTAATTTACGTGGATGCATCCTGCATCCTCCATCCTCCATCGCCTCCTCCCATAGTATACATTCGATCGGGCGGCCTCTTCATCGTCAGCTGGCCCGATCGGTAAGTAAAAAGATTTTTTTTTATTTTTTTATTTTTTTTATATATATACAGCGCGTATCGTCGCGCGAGCTTTTAGATCCGGAAAAGAAGAAGAAAAAGAGGAGAAGGAGAAGGAGAGGACAGGGGAGAGGTAGACGAGGGTGATCAGAGGAAGTGATCTATGTCGAGATTGAGAGGGGGCGAAATAGGTGGAAGAAAAGCGGTCATTGCCGCAGGAGTCGTCGGCGCATCTTCCTCATGGAAGTGATGCTGGACGAATGAGGGGTAAAGGAAAGCCCCCGGCACATGTGAGAGGACACGTGGCGCCAGATCCGCTACCGCTCGCACCACCCGCTTGCTCACCGATCGGGGCCCTGGACCCGTCATCACCACATGAGTCTCAGTGTAAGGCCGCCGCTCCCGCTTCTGCGCCGCGAAGACCAGGAAGTGGTACATTGCATTTGGACGTTGCCCGGTCTCGTAGATGAGCGTCCCAGCCAATCGCGTCGCAATACACCCTTGGAAAGGGGGTGTCAGATATGGCTCCCACGCCGGATCAGGGCGCGGCGCCCCGCGATGGCCTCGAGCCTGATGGTGGCGGGCTCCACCATGAAGTCCACCTCGGTCGGATGGACCGTGCGGCTCGGATGAACTACTAATGTCAATGACCGGGGCACCCCGGGGTGGCTGGCGGGAACGGGGAGGTCCCGCGAGGACGGGGGATCTGGATATGGGATCCGGAAATTCCAATCGGCTTCCACCTCCGGCTGCTGCTGCTGATGATGGCCCGACTCCATCAAGATTGAGATCGGGCACACGCGGAATGGGCGGCGATGGCACGATAGTCTCCTTAACGAGCGTCGCCGCGCTCCTCGGCACAGGGTCAGGAATCCGCGTACGCGCGGGCTGAATCACCTCCTCGTCGCCGCTGATCCTGCTGCCTTGCGCTCCTGGCGACGGGTGGCGTCTCTTCCTCTTCGGCGTCTTCTTGGGGGCCTTCGGTGGCGCTGGTCGAGGATACGACGAGGGAGGACGCAACGGCCTTTCCTACGGGAAGTCCTCCAATCTCTTAGCGCGCTGCGCAATGTAATCCGGGATGACGACCGCGTTGTACGTTCTCCTCGGGGCCGTCGCCGTCCGCAATCGTGGGTGGATCTCCTGCTCCTCGCTCGCGATCACTTGCGCAATGGAGAGGAGCTCAAGATGTATGAGCTCCAACAATCCCAAATCGATTGTCTGGAGCTGGGTGAAGGGGTACAACGCCACCATCCCTTCCTTCTCCGCTGGCTTGGGCCTCGCGATGACGTAGTAAACGCCGAAGTGCTCCCCGATAGCGTGGTCTTCGTGATCCACGAAGAATCGGAACATCCCCAGTGCCACTGACTTGTACAGCGCACGGTGCAACTCCCACGCGTCTTCGTCGGCGAAGGGCAGCGGTTCCACGTCAGTTAGCTCCACCAAATACTCCGAGAACTCGCGCATGGGGTAAGGGCCCTCCGTGAGCTGGTTGGGGAGGGTGGTGTAGGAGAAGAAAGGAGGCATTTAGTACGGGACAGGGGGAATAGCTTGGAGGTTGAGAGGAGCAGCGGGAGGGAGAAGCGCAGGGAGCTGCGGCACCATCGCAATCGGTCCGTCCGCTGCCATACGCAGCAGCACTTCGTGGGCTGTGAACCGGTGTCCCCCCCGTCCTTGCACTCTGACCACTGATCTGGCCGCTTCCACCGCGTATTCGCGCACAAAGCTGCGTGCCAGTTCCCGATTCTGCTGCGGTAGGACCGTCAAGTCTCCGATGAAGGTGGCGATGCTGTGCACGAAGTTGGGTGCCACCCGGAGTGCACGAAACTCAATGAATACTCGGGTCGTCTCTCGGCCAGGCAACTGCGTCACGTCCACGTACACTCCCGCATATGTCAGCCGATCGCAAAGCAACGAGTACGCTGCCAAATCAGCAACCCCGGGCGCTGGCACGTTCACCTGTTGGATGTCGTACCGCAACTGCCTCTCCTCATTAAACCGATGCCGCAACAAGCGATCTGCAAGCGGCGTCTGGAAGTGCTCGAGGGGCTCATGCTCCGGCTGGCGATGGTTCATCCTGCTCCCTGAAACTCTCAGCACCAATGGACAAGGCAAATCGGGAAGAGGAGGAGGATGAAGAAGGAGAGGGTGATCTCGCAGGAGCGGGGGTCCGTAGGAGACCTAGCGATGGGTGGAAGGGCCGGAGCGCGGCAGCGTGCCGTGTCAGCGGTCGGGCCTGGGAGTTGTGACGAGGAATCAGCTTCACGGAGTGCTGTCCCTGTGCGCCAACTTTCGTGACCTCGTACATGCCTGTGTAGCGCGGGTGGATCTTCGAGGAACGCGCAGATTTCCGTACCTGCACCAAGTCCCCAACTTTATAGCGGGACAGTGGTCCCGCCGACGCGTGTCGATTCTCGTAATCACGGATCTGCCGTTGATGTGTCCGATCTACGGCCTGCTGTCGACGACGAGCTAACGGGGGATAGGCCCTAGCCATTAAGTCCATGTAGTGGCGGGCCTTGTCTCGATTCTGGGCCCGTGTTGCTCTAACTTCCGTTCCTACTAAGGGGGACAATTGCACCCGAGGGACACTATTGGTTCTCAGTTGAAAGGGAGACACCCCAGTACTACCATGTCGGGTAGCCCAATAAACGGCCAAAATGTGATCGAAAATGACCGGCCAGGGTCGGGTGTCTCCCGCAGTGATATTTTGTCTAAAGGCCGTCTTAATCAGTCGGTTGGCATTCTCTACCAGGCCATTGGCTTGAGGCCAATGCCCCGGTGAGTATATAATCTTAACGTCCGCCCTGACTAGGTGACGTTCTACTTCGCCTTGAAATTCCGACCCATTTTCCATGTGTACCTCTTCTACGTCTAGATGCATGCACAAAAATCGATTTACGTATCAGGCTACTTCCTGCGAATTCCGACTGGTCATAGGGTACACCTCGATCCATTTTGAAAAATGATCGACGGCCACTAAAAAAACATTGAGCTCTCCCTGATCGACGGGCCCTCTCGGAACGTTGATATCCGTCATATCGATGCTAACCCTCTGAAAGGGGCGCTCCACACGAGTGGGCACCATCGTCCGAGGCATCTGTACCGGCGCCTTGTCCGCCGCGCAGGCCGGGCAATTCTGAACGATGTATTTCATATCTTCCCGAATTCCCGACCAGTACCATCCATTCTTTTCGATGGCTTTTTCCGTGTACTTGACCGTGAAATGGACCGCATCCTCCTCATGAGCAGCTCGTGTCCAATCGAACCTAGCAAGTGGGTGTGGAACCGTCAACCAGCTAGACTCTCCGTCGTCATCGACCTTCCGTTTTTGTAACGTCGGGCCCTGCCAGCGATAGTCCTGCGCCCGCTCCGTGACTTTCCGCCGTTCGACTTTGGTAAGTTCTGACAACGAGTCGCCTAACAGTCTCCGTAGCAGCAGCAGGTCCGTCCAGGCTTCTGCCCGGCGGGCACTTGGCGCAAATTCGTCTGCTGTTCTAGCGTCCAGATATCGCTTCTCGGTAGGGACTTGGTCCGTTCTATAGTTGGGACAGACCCATGTCTTTTCACTTCGGTACCTAACGCATTGTCCGTGAGATTTGACCGTATGACACTGACTACACTGTACCCACAAAAGAAAATTGGGCCCTCCCGGATGTGACCCTTCTTGGTCCGGGATCATAGGCAAGGTACAGAAGAAACAGGAACTTAGGTGTGTTTCAGGGGACAAGTTGGGGCTAGACGAGAGAGCGAGGGAGTGGGATGAGGGCAGAGCGATAGTGTCGGCCATCTTCAATGAAACCTCCATTCCGAACTCAGGCGTCGTCCTTACGCAGCACGTGTAGCTCCCCGTAGTGCAGTTTCGTCACCGCGACTTCTGGCCTCCACGGAATGAGTCGCTCATTGGCGGGACACTTGTTGGGCGGCAGAAGGCGCGTTAATCCATCGGCATTACCATGCTGCCGCGTGGCACGGTGGCGGATGTCGAAGTCATAGTCTTGCAGACGCACCGCCCACCTGCCCAGCGTCCCCGTGTAGTCCGTGTTGTTGCGTAGGGACATCAGCGGCTGATGATCCGTTACCAGGACAAATTTCTGGCCGTACAGATACGGTCGGAAATGCTGAATCCCCCACACCACCGCCAGGCATTCACCTTTGCACGCTTCGTAATTAGCCTGTGCCTGGCTCAACGTCTTGGACGCATACTCAATGACGTGCTCCCTTCCGTCCTTGCCGTGCTGAGTCAACACCGCCGGTATCGCCTGAGGCTGCCACTCTGTGTACAGTGCGAACGGTCTTATCGGGTCGGGGCGTGCCAACACAGGAGCAGATGTCAGAGCCTCCTTCAACGCCTGAAACGCCGCTTCGCATTCCAGCGTCCAGATCAACTGTTCCTCTTTCTTCAGCAGGTTCGTGAGGGGCTTCACTATGCCGACGAACCCCTTGATGAAGCGTCGGTAATAGGATGTCAGCCCTAGAAAAGCCCGAACCTGGGTGAGTGTGACCGGCGCCGGGGCGTCTTGAACTGCTGCCACCTTCCTCAGATCCGGTTTTAGTCCGTCGACCGTGACGATATACCCCAAGAATGAGATCTCCGACAAGAAGAACTCGCTTTTCTCCAAGGCCACTTTGAACCCTGCATCTTTCAGTGCATGCAAAACCCACGCAATGTGTTCCACGTGGTACTCGTGTGTTTTTGAAAAGACCAAAATATCATCCATGTACACAATCACGCAGAAATTGATCAGGGGTTGAGTAAGTCGGGTTTTGTTAACGAACTCAGCGAAGGCCATATTCATGGCCCACTGAAATGTTGCAGGGGCGTTACAAATTCCCATGGGACACTGGACCCATTGCCACGTGCCCTCAAACAGGACATAGGCGGTTTTGGGTCGGTCCTCCGGTTGGACTGTGACGTGGTGAAAACCGTGTCGGATATCGAACTTGGAAAAGACTCGAGCGGCCCCGATAGCATCTAACAAATCATCGATTCGCGGCAAGGGATACACATCTTTGGTAGTGATGGCGTTCAATTTCCGGTGGTCGATACGTACCCGAACCGAGCCATTTCGTTTTGGCACGAGGACCATGGGAAAAAACCATGGTCCCAGCGATGGTTCGACCCACCCCAGCAACTCGAATTCCCGTACCCTTTCCAACGCCAGCTGCCTTTCTTTAAGGGAATATCGGTACGGTCGGCAATGTATCGGGGCGTGATCCCCGGTGTCAATCGCGTGTTGTATCAAAGGGGTTAGCCCTATGTCGTGGTCCTGAATGCTGATGGCCTCAGGATAGGCCCGTATAACCGCCAAGAGGAGGCGTTTGTATTCGTCCGGAACACGGCTGGTAACTGAACTTCTACGGTTCCCCCAGGAAAGGAGACCGTCGTCGTAACCGTGGGGACCGCCGCGTTGGCATCGGGCGAGGCCCCAAACAAAGAGTTGTCGATTTTCGCCGAAAGGACCGTCGCAATAAGTTGGTTGTCTGCCGGACTCATCGGCTCGCTTTCCATGTCACTGTCACTGTCCAGTTCGGGTTCGGCCGAGGGTTGGACCGAAAAGGCCTGCGCCAGTTCCCTCAGTCCCCACCGATACTCCCTCGTTCGGGGTTGAAACGACACCCCCTCTTTCAGGAGTATCGCGGCTTTTTCATTCGTGATTAGGGGTCGTGGAGGTCGAAAAGATAAATCGCACAGCCCCCTCAGCTCGGTAAATCTTTCAGGTAGGGGGTCCGTCCAGAGATACAAGGACGCAGGGGGTTCCGAAAGGTTAGCTATTCGGGACACCCTCAACAAGGGTTCCCCCTGCACCACGGAGGAGAACGTGTGCGACCAATTAGACTCGCTCCGAACTATTTCGAGTGGTTCTCGCCGCCAAGAATGGCGCCACCGATCCTGTACTCGGATCGGATATCGGTCGGGTGCATCAGTCTTGTCAGTTTCCGTCGAGGGTTCATTTTCGTCTGGTGACAGGCGTCGGATCATGTTGATTTGATGGGCCTTAGTGGTGAGGCGAGGCGCCGGCTGGGTGCGCGTGCGCACCGCTAGTCTCATGGGTATCGTTTGGGGTTTGGGGTGGGCCGATGTGAGCACCACCTTACAGCTGTCAAAGCGCATTCGCGCTCCGACCGCCGCCTGCCATGGAATGCCTAGCAGAATATCATACGCCTGTACATCCAGCACAATCACGTCACACAAACAATGCACCCGCCCCACCCGTATAGGCACGTTCATTATTCGCCCTTTACAATGAATACTATCTTCCGTAGCGGATATATACAGTTCATCCGGCCGGAGGGGCTGAACTGTCCTTCCCTTCCCAACTGTTTCGTCAATCTCCAAGAAATGGCGACCGCCGATGATCCCGAGTCTAGGATGGCGGCCGAGGGGTTTCCCCAAACCTCACAGTCACACTCTACGCTTTTCCAGGTTGTAGGATAGGCCCGGAGGAATACCTCGGGTTTTTCCGAGGCAGGATCTACGGTCTGGATCATCCCTATCCGGTTGGCTTTGTGCACCTCTGAGGTCGAGGGCTGTGACTCCTCGTTAGTGGGTGGGTCCCGTAGGACCGGCTTTTTGCCCTTTCGACTTTCCTCGAATCGGCGCCTGTTTTTGAGGCACCGTTCGATCAACCTTTCGTTAGCCGCTTCGGAAATGGTTAGCAGATATGGAATAGGGACGGGGATCCGAAGATCCAGAGCCTTCAAGGCATCCAATACGTCGATATGANTAGGGACGGGGATCCGAAGATCCAGAGCCTTCAAGGCATCCAATACGTCGATATGACCATCCTTGTATTCAGGACCAGGTACCGCAAGATCCTCGAATCCTGGTCGCTATGGCCCGAGGTCGCTTTCCTCGGTAATCCGTTGGACGTGACGTATCACTCCGATGGTCCCGGGTTCGAACATTGCTGCCGCCATATACTCATCGGGTCCTATCTCAGTGGCCGCCGGGGTCACCATCTCCGTCGTTCCTGTGTCCATTACCGTGGCTACACTCCCCTGTCCTGCAGCGGTGGGAGCAGCCAACGGGATTTGGGAAGGTCCGGTGGGCCCGCCCTGAGTTCGGGGTTTCGAACAATCTTTCGCAAGGTGGCCTGGCTGATTACAGTTGTAACAGCGTAGGGGTGGGACAGCCCCGGCCGCGGCCGGTCTTATCATAGGGGCTCTGACAGGCATAGCCGCCTGTTGCCGTTGTGCGGCGGCTATGCGTTGTCATTGCAGACCTTGAACAAACTCCGTCAACGGGGCTACTACCGTAACTAGTTGGGCCGCGACTTCTTTCATGGATGCTTCTTCCTCACCCCGGCTTCCTTGCGTTTGACTAGAGCGACTGGAGGCCGAAGCAGAGGAAGAAGCTTTCCGATCCGAGCCTTTTTTTGCCGGTCCCAACCCGAAGCGATCTTCGAACATTCGTGCCGTAGCGGAGTAGCTATTGCGTCGAACACCCGAAGGGTCATCTTCGTCGGATTCTGAGTCCAGGCCCACATCGTAATTTTCTTTCCCGTACTTAATTGTGTACTGAATTAGCTCCGTCAGGGTATGTTTTATAGGGTTGCATTTCTTGCGGATCTTTCTCCGCAGACGAGAGTCCGACAGTCCTCTGACGAAATCAGTCCGTACCATTTTCTCATCCACCCCAGAGCGTTCGGCTAGGTACGTAAAACGTTCAGCATATTTAGCCAAGGTCTCCCGAGGCTGCTGCGTGTATTCCTTTATTAAATGGAGGCATTGACCTGGTGCGATGTGATCAAATCTATCGAGAAATTTCCTCTGGAAGGCCGCTCAATTAGTGAAGGGGTTTTGTCCGTAACACTCAAAAGCAGTTCCGGCTAACCTTCTCGGAATTCGTTCTCGGAGCAACTGGTCTGACCAGCCCTGGGCTTTCAAGGCAGCTAGCCAGGTGCGAGGATCGGTGTCATCTTCAGAAAAAATGGGAACTTCGGAGGGAGGAGGTACAAAGTACAGGGGATGATTGGCCATCCCCGCGTAGTTGTCGCCGTCGTTTTCACCCCCGATTCCGGGTTCCACCATCGCGGGAGGCGGTTTTCAAGCCCGGCCCCTCGCTCGGTTCTGATTGCTATTCGCGGGCCTCTGTCGACGGGGAGCCAGCCTACTCAAGAATACGAAAAATCTAATGAAAAGATCAAAAAGAAAAAAGGAGAAACTTTAAAACAGGGTAAACATCCTAGGAAAACCTCGGAGCCGAAACGAATCAGCTCTGATACCAACCTCACGCCCCCTCGCAGCTTCCCGTACGGGGTCGCCGATCAGAGTTCTAGGAGGGGCGTGGCCGAGGATTTTTGGTCGTAAGAGTTGAGTCCCCCGGACGGAACGGGAGGCTCTCGTTTCTTGGCCGAGGTTTTTCTCGGAGTCGAACTGTCGTCACGAAGTCCTGCGGGGGTCGGATTACTCCGAAACGATAAAATCATAAGGGTTTCTGTGAAAATGAATTGTCATCGTGCATTGGGACAGGAAAAGGCATCAAGGGGAGGAGGCCATGGCGGCAGACGGCAAAAACTCCGGCCGTCGGGGGTTCTGGGGATAGGTGGTGGGTTCGAGGCCTTCAAGCCTCGGCGTCGGACTCATAGAGCCCGCGCAAAAGTTTCCGGGAGGGTAAAGCGGCGGGAGGACTCGCCGGCATCTGAATTCGAAATTGCGCGGGCAGCGCCCCGCACTACGGGAAAGCTCGGGGAAACGTGTCGCTCCCTCGTAACCCAGGACCAGCTGTCGCCACGAACACGAGTCCCCCTGGCGACACCAGCGACAATCAAACTGCGGTTGCCACGCGACGTGAGCGGTCTACCAGGGCAACACCGTTAAACCCGTATAAGGCAATATTAGAGTCGGGGAATCAAAGCGATCAATCAACACAAACCCGTTCCCCCTTATCTCACAAGCCCGAGGCGGGTCTTGCCAACACACTTGCTCCGTCCGTCTCAACGCGCGCCGTACGTCCGCATCGCAGTAGATGCTGTCGTCATCTGTGATGGGGAAGGTCGGTAGCGAAATGAGACGATCGGAGGTACGTGATGAACACGGGCAAGATCCTGCGTTCCCGGTCATCCGAACCAACACCGGATCCATACAATCAATCGTCGCAACTCTTCTCTCTCAAAAACGGGTGCGTAGGGGGAGGATGACGAAATCTAAGCTTTCTCCCCTTGGCGGGGGCGTCGACCATCCGCGCGGACGCAGGCGGTTGACGCCACCGGTACGGGGACGAGAAGCTCTAAAAGGCGATGCCTGTTAGTTCAAAAGGAAGGCGATCGAAGAGAGAGAGAGAGAGAGAGAGAGAGAGAGAGAGAGAGAGAGAGAGAGAGAGAGAGAGAGAGAGAGAGAGAGAGAGAGAG